GACTCCCAAGTTGCGAACCCTATCTGAGGGGTATAAGATTTGACCCCCCAGCCTGAGCGATGGAACACTGGCCAAATTATTGGCAGTAGGTGGTCTCGCAGGTATCCTGGGCCTAAGCCATTGTAAAAACAAAGACATCCAATCAAGATCACATGAAGTATTAGTACCTCTTTATAAAGCCTTGGCAAGACCACACCTGGAATATACTGCATCTAGTTTTGGTCACCACATTACAATAATATATTGAAACTTTGCAAAAAATATGTGCAAAGAAGAGCAACTAAAATGATTAAAGACTTGGGAACTAAAACATATGAAGAACAATTGCAGGATTTGGGTTTGGTTAGTCTAGAGAAAAGAAGGACTGGGGGGGGGGATAGCAGTATTCCAGTATTTGAGAGGCTGCCACAAAGAGGAAGGAGTCAATTTATTTTCCAAAGCACCAGAGGGCAAGGCAAGAAACAATGGATGAAAACTAATCAAGGAGAGAAGCAACCTGGAATTGAGGAGAAACCTCCTAACAGTGAGGAAAATTAACCAGTAGAACATCTTGCCTTCAGCCATTGTGGGTGCGTCATTACTGGAGGTTTTTAAGAAGAAACTGGACAGTCGCTTGTCTGAAATGGTACAGGCTCTCCTGCTTAAGCAGGGGGCTACGCTAGAAGACCTCCAAGGCCTCTTCCAGCTCGATTCTGCTTCTCATTTCTATACACTCACACCCGTTGCGCAGTTTCTGCACGCGGAACAGCCAAACGATTGGCCTCAACGCAGGGCGGGCACCTGTTGAGCTGCTATCGGTCTGACAACCGCATTAAGCCCACGAGGTGAAGGAGGAAGCGGCTGCGCTTAGCTAACATCCGGGTTTAGGGAGGAGGAGGAGATTATTGTATTTTTAAAGCACGAGAGGCGCAAGTTCCACGAAGGCCTTTCCAACTCCCCCCACCCACCCTGCCCGCAACTCTCGGGAGCCACCCGGAAGCGAGGGACCATCGCATCGTGGTGGGACCCAGGGGGAGGGGGGGGGGCGGACACTCGTTCGGCCTCGGCCTAGTCTCCTTCCTCGCAGGGCGGCCGGCAGCCCGTCTTCCCTCTGCGTGGTACCTGGCAAAGCAGCATTCGCAATGGTTGCCCCTCTCGTTGACAGTCAGCACGCAAGTGAAGGCCGGGCAAGAAAAGAGCAGCTCCCCAATGACGAAACGGCGCAGCGCCCGCAGGCCCCGGCCCTTCCCGGGACTCTGGAACTTCTCCAGCCCTTCCATCTGGGAAGGGGCTGCCGCGCGCATGACTCCAGGGGCGCCGCTGCCTTCAAGCAACGCGGCTCCGGGATGGCGGCGCGTCTCTCGGGTCTATTAATGGAGCGCCCGCCACTCGCAGCGCCCGGTTCCAGCGAGTCAGCCACCGCGGCACATACATGGGCATGAACGGCAGCAGCTGCCGGCTCCCTGAAAAAAGTGCGCCGGAGCCCGCTGGGTCCTAGAGGCAATGAGTGCCGCTGAGATTGAGCACAACCAGCCCGCCTTTGGAAGGAAAAGTTTGGACGGCGCAATTGCAGGAGCCCGAGGCAGGGTTTGCTGCATCTCCCGAGCGCCTCCTTTGCTACCCCGCGGTTTGTTAAAGCCATGCACAAAGGCTGGGCTTTTGCACCAGTAAGTTGTGTGAAGACCAAATCGCTCCTAGTGACATCGCGCTGGGTGCCGGCTGCCTTGTTGGTCTAGGAGGTCTCTGGGCCTATCTCCAGTAGAAATAAAAACGGTGTTTTCAGTGAGGGTCGTTTTTTTCAGTACGAATCGGTTAGGTCTGATCCAGAATTTGAGGGGGGGGGCGACCCTCCACTAAAAATGGAGTAGTAGTAAAATATTATTCGTGTGATATTTATGGAAGTTTAAAAAGCATATAGCAAGTTTCTTTCAAAGAGGTTACAGTTGATGAAATGTAAGACGACATGGCCAGATAATTAATAGAATTCACTTCAGTTTAATTATTGAAATTTAAACTAACATCCCTTCTAATTGAGAATGAGATGAGCAGTATCTAAATTTGATAAAATTGTAGAATCGTCTAGTGAGGGGGCTGACAAATCCACTCTGATTTAATCTTAAAACCATTGACAGTTCATTTGGAAAAAGCCAGGCCATAGGACAGATGACCTAAGTGTGTTCTTTGTGTGCTCATTTCAAGGGTTGAAAGGATTACGTACTGTTTTAATTTACAGCCATGCAAACTCTATTCAGGTTCATGGGCGGCATATAAATTTAATAAATTCAATTCAATTCAATTATTATACTCAGAAATATGCTGCATAGTGGATTTGTTCTTGGTTGTTTGCTACTGTAGAAAGTCAGCACTCACCCACCTTCCTTGAGAATGAAACATTTTGGGGGATATTAAAAAGGCAGAATAGAATATTTCCCTTAAAGGAGAAATGGGGAAAAAATCTGAAGAGAGGTCTCCCTGCCCCAAGCAGAAATTGGGAGGCCAGATTTGGTAATCCATTCAGAAAAACTGGGTCAGACAGAACCCCAGATAAACAATTAGACAAGGCAAGATTAAGTCATACAAACTACTAGGATTTGCATTTTCCTTTTTTGCTCCCCCGCCTGGATGCTTTTGCATATGCGCAGAAGTTTTGCATGCACAAGCGCACGTGAGCACGAGCGAACTGGTAGTAAACTGGTTAGCAATGCACCACTGCCCCATAGAAATGAAAAAGGTATAAAAGGCCACCCTACTCTCAACTCCATTTTGTCACCTGTCCCAGAGCTGCATGCTGTGTGTGTGTTGGTTCTGTTCACCAATAAATGGATCTTTCTTTCTTAAGCAGCCTCCATTTTAGTCCCAGCTTGGAACTGGAACTGGATTTTTCTTCCTACACTACCCACATAAAAAGTTTATATGCTATTCTTTTATTCATTTATAATTTTGTTACAGAAATTGTTAGCTCAACAATTTGTGCTTCTAAGCTATTGAAGACAATTAGGTATGGGTGAAAGTTCAGGATGTACATAATTATTTTATACATAAATCCACAAGTCTATGGATAAATAACCATGAGAGAAAGAAAAAAAATCTGTTTCATTGATGATACCCTACCAAATCACACACTAAACTGAAGCTGTGATCCTATACAGACTAATCTGGGAATAAATCCAATGAACTCTGTAGGTCTTAATTCTAAGTAAATATTCATAGGATTGAATCAAAAATAAATAATCTGAGACTAATTAACACCTTGTATTAAACTGCAGGGATGTCATTTGATTCGACAATGGTTTAGTCAACAAACCATGATAATAACAAATTGTAGTTTAATGTAACCTCAGTCATAAATGAGATTGCTCATATGTGTTTATTCCCAAGAAATCAGTTTTAGGAGAATTAAAATCAGTGGCATTGGTGAAGGGCAATTAATGTAAGACTAATGGATTTGAGTGGGTCTTCAGCATGATTATATTTGGATTTGTATATTTATTCAGTTTTCATGTCAGTATTTGGTGCTTAAATGTAATAATTTCATTGTTTTCTTGTTTGAATTTATATTTTTGATGTGATTTTGTGATTATAACCTGGGATTATTTTATTAACTGAATTGTTGATACTATAAATACTTTACTACAAATAACTGATTGTAACTCACTTGCCAGTAGAGTCATTGTAGCAAGCTAAGAATGAATGAATGAATGGATATTTGTGGCTTAATCATGTTGAAATAATTATATGGGTATAAATATACAGATCCAACCTATGGTGTACTCAAAAATATTTTTGAAAATTGTGTGTGAATCCAGTAAATAGCTGATACCTGCTTAAACTAGGACTGGCCATCATTTTACAAAATAAATGCACCTTCCTGTATAGCATGGATCTTTCTGTTATGGAATATTATAGTACTCTCCCTTCCTTGTCATCTCAGTCAGTAATGCTTTTCTGAAGCCAATTAGATTTGTCAAGCTGCATTAGTAGAACAGTAGAATAATCTAACACTTCATTCACGCCAGAATATAGTGGATCATTTATTTTTCTGGTAATGTTTACCATTTTCATTAATGTTATTAAATCAACTTAAATACTACTAATGATATTACTCGTGTCAGATTTCCCAAGGCATTAGTTTGATGACTTAGCCATGGCTACAATTAACAGGCAGAAATTGATTTTAAAAAACAGGGAATGCAACAGATGAACAGAGTTGAACATGCCTTTACTATGAATATAACAAAAAAAACTTTCAACAATTATATTCCTTTTAATTGCTTTACATTCTGGAAATGCGATCATGTAATATGTAGCCATCTTGCTTCCCAGCATTGCTGTTCCAAAATTTCTTACAGTGTAGATTGATAAAAATATCACAATAAAATCCAAAAATAAATACATGAAAATCATAAAATGGAGTAGGGTAAAATGAGTTCAACATGACACAATGTGATTGAGGGTCCAAGAAAACCTTGTCCGTAACATATTGTAAAGCATGCATACTGGACTCAATTGAAATAATGACCTCAATATCTGGGGAAATTGCCAGGTTTTCCAAATCTTATGGAAGGCTAATAGAGTTGGGACCATCTGAATAATTTGGGAGGTGGCTGTTCCATAGGGCAAGTACTGCAAAATTATATCTCGTGGGTGTAAACAATTGATGTTTGACAAAAGTATGCTTATCCTGCTGAATCTGATTTAATTAGATCATTACAGACATCAGTCTTATAAGTAATCTGCACCTGTGCTATGCAGGGTTTTATAGATGACAATCAACATTTTGATGCACTTGGAAACCTATTGGCTGGTGCAACTCACAAAACTGGTATTACATGGACATGTATCCAGAGCTCCAAGCACTGCATTATTGCATTCTGGATCAGTTGCAGATTCTGGAGGTTCTTCAAGGCCATTTCCAAATAGAACACGTTGCATTTAATTGGCATCTAATGACTAATTGGGAGGTGACTAAATCATGAGTGACTGTGAGCAGAGCCTCAGTCCACTAAATGCCAACTAGTGCACAAGATGGATCTGCACATAGGCTTGTGTTGCAGTAAAACTGGATTGAATGTTTGTATCATTTAAATAATTAAGCATCAGAACAATTTGAATGATTAAACAACTTTTTCATACAAAATTGTAAAAATGATGCTGCTTGTCAGACTGCTAAATATGTTTCTAAAAAGCAACTTGTTGGTTGGCCTCAGCCCTGATCCTGAATACTTATAATGCTGTATACATTCAGAGGCAGTGATAGTTTGATTTTTGAAATAAATGTTTGGCCGTCTGAGACATAGAAACACAGATTTGAGATAGAAACACAGATATACAATTTAGTGCCATAAGTAAGCTGTAAAAAAACCTTGCAAGATCTTTTCAGCTTGTCAGCATTTCTGAATGCATTTTAAGTCTATCAGTCTTCCAGGAAATCTGCAAAGACAAGGAGTGACAGCAACGCAGATGTCTCTTCAATAACAGATTAGGAAAACAGTGATAAGAAAAGGCAAGGGCAGCTGTTAAGTGTGAAAATGACATCCAGTTCTTAGATGGCTAGAAGTTTATAATAGCCTTTTATCAGAAACAGCAGCTTCTCAATTGTCATGCTGTATTAAATCCATTTTGCCCTACCAGCTCTATCAGGGATTAAGTAAATAAGAGCATATGGAATACATCTCCACATCTTCACAACTGAACTGGCAACTCAGCTGAGACATACGTTTTGACCTAATATATATGTTCAGATCAATTTCTAGTAGTGTAGACCAGAGGTGGTATTCAGCAGGTTCTGACCAGTTCTGAAGAACCAGTAGCAGAAATTTTGAGTAGTTTGGAGAACTGGTAAATACCACCTCTGACTGGCCTCACCCCCATCTATTCTCTGCCTCCCGAGTCCAAGGTGATCAGGAGGGAATGGGGATTTTGAAGTAACCTTCTGGAGTGGGGAGAGAGTGGAGATTTTACAGTATCCTGGAGTGAGGTGGGAATGGAGATTTTACAGTATCCTGGAGTGAGGTGG